AACAAAACATGTCCATGTTGGGAGTAGCATCTGGGCTCCCAATCAGTGACCTCAGTGATGAGCAAAAACACAGCATATTAAGGGGTCACTGCCTCATGTACAGGAGGCCTGGTGGCACAGTGGTTAAAGTGCTCAGCTGCAAACCAAAAATTTGGTGGCTTGAACTTACCAGCCATTCCACTGAAGAAAGATGTGGCAGTCTGCCTCTGTAAAGATTTACAGCCCTGGAAATCCTATGGGGTTGTTCTACTCTTACAAAGTTGCTACGAGTCAGAACTGACTCAACAGCAATAGGTTTGGACCTCATGTACAATTTTTGTTCCTTCCAAAATTACAGAATAATGGTTGTTATTTATTTATCTTAGTAGTATAGTGGTTAAATATTAGTCTAACTCATTGCTGTCGAGTCCGATCCAACTCACAGCGACCCCTCCTTTAGTTTCCAAGGCAGTATCACTGTGGAAGTAGATTACCCAATCTTCCTTCTGAGGAGTGGCTGGTGGGTTTGAACTACCATCCTTCTGATTAGCAGTCAAATGCCTTAGGCACTATGCCACCAGAGCTCCTTATGTTTCCAAGTCTATAAATTGTCATGAAAGCAAATTGCCTCATCTTCCTTCCTCAGAGCAGCTGGTGGGTTTGAACCATCAGCTTTTGGTTAGCAGCCAGATGTCTTAACCATTACACCACCGCAGCTCTTTGAAAGACTGAAAAGAAGATCTAAACAGCAGAGTTAAACCATGGTCCCGAATGGGAAGCTTCAATTTTGTAAATATTTCCATAAACTAAATGTGCCACTAAGCAATGTACCGTGGATGAACTGCCAGAAGACGAAACAAATCCGTCCTAGACGAAGTACAGCCAGAATGCCCCTAGGTAGCAAGGATGGGTATCAGCAGGAACCAGTCCCTGGAGAGGGATATCATGCTTGGTAAGAAGGGGCAATGAAAAAAACGAAGACCCTCAATGAGCTGGGTTGACACAGTGACTGCAACAATGGGCTTAAACACAGCAATTATTATGAGGATGGTGCTGGACCAGGCAGGGTTTTGTTCTGTTGTACATGGGGTCACGGAGTTAGAACTGACTTGATGGCACCTAACAACAAGCAATGCAACATAACCAAATGCTAACATTTTAAGTTTCCTCAGCTGGAGAAAGAGAGAAATAAATGAAATCACAGTTAGTGGGAGGATTAACTTTACCAGGCGTTCCAAATGCAATTACACTTTGGCTTCAGACAATCACCTGAGAATAAAATCTAGGATACAGGACACAGAATCTAGAAAATGTTTCAAATTATTTGACATGCAGAGCAGAAGCAGATAGATAAAGCAAAATGTACATATTTGTATATAAAATATTTATATATTCATACATATTTACATGAAACATATTAGGAACTTCGGTAATAAACCCCATAATTGTGAGTATGGTCTGTGAATTGTGTGACGACTGCAATGAATGATCAAACCCAGAAGAGTATAATGCTGTGGGAGGGACAAATGGTGTCAGTGTTGGGACAAAATTTAGAGTGGAGGTTTGTGTGACCTCCACCTGACAGGAATCAGCCTTGGCCTGATGCTGATTTTGACCCTTTCTCCCCTTGTAGTGAAAGGAGGTCTATCATCATGCCATTTTTACAACCACTTAAAGTTATACACATCCATTTCAAGACCTGTTACAGATGGAATTGTGCCCCTCTATAACATGTATTGGGAGCTCTGGTAACATAGTGCCTAAGGCATTTGACTGCTACCCAGAAGGCTGGTGGTTCAAACCCACCAGCCACTCCTCAAAAGGAAGATTCGGCAATCTACTTCCATAGAGATACTCCCTAGAAAACCCAAGGAGGGGTTGTTATGACTTGGATCTGACTCCACCAGCACTTTGTTAGTTTAAAATATGTATTGGAATCCTGACCCATATACCTGTTGATGGAATCCTATGGGGATAGGGTTATGCTAATGAAGTGTTGGGTGTGTCCTAAACTTCATCACTGCTGAGTTGCAGACACAGATGCAAGCACAAAGAAGGAAGACAGATGCCATGTGAAGACAGCCAAAGACACTGGAGTCACAGAAGTTTAAAGACACAAGGATCACCCAGAGCCAATGGAGAGCCCTGCTCTGGAGCTGCTACACTGAATTTGGACTTCTAGCTTCTTGTAATAAATATCTGTTCCTAGAAGAATGGACACACACACAAAAAAAAAGACATTTAGAAACAATCAACCCTAGGACATGATGGCCCTCGAGACCAGAAGAACTGGATGGTGCCTGGCTACCAATGCCAACCCCTCAGGAAAGGATCAAATCTGGAGATCCTGGATAGAGTGGGAGGGGAAACGTGGGACAAAATCCAAAAACTCAATAATGAGCAGAAATACTGGTCAGATGAAATCTGGTGAGACTCCCAATACTATGGCCCTGAAATACATTTGGCACTTGGAATAAAACTCACCCCCCGGGGGGGGGGGCTCTCAGCCCAATAGTTAGCAAGATGTACACGCAGATCACTCAACCCAGGATGCCACACCCACGTACTCAATGGTAATACATCCCTTAGAGCAATCGAGTCGGCCCTGACTCATAGCGACCCCTCCTTGGGTTTCCGAGGCAGTATCACTACGGAAGTAGGATTGCCCAACCTTCCTTCCGAGGAGTGGCTGGTGGGTTTGAACCGCCAGCTGTCTGGTTAGCAGGCAAGTGTCTTTGCCACTATGCTACCAGAGCTCCTCTTAGAGCAATAGACCATGGGAAATAAATAAATAAATAAATATCTGTCCTTAAAGCCATTCACCTGTGGTACTTGTTATAGCAGCAGTAGAAAACTAAGACTGACCCTGACTGCACTGACTCTGACTAAAAGAACACGGACACCTTTAACACAGTAACATAGTTTCTGTGTTGGGCAGTTACTGGAATTTCAAGTGTCTTACAGTTGGGAATATACTCTGAAAGATTAAGAGACAAGATGTCGTGACTGTAAGTAACAGAACTCAATCATGTATATAGAAATAGATGAAACAATTGTCACAAAATGATCAATAATGGTACTTCACAGAAGTTCTTCCCATATGTGTGTATATTTGAAAACATTCACCCTAAGAGGCAGAGTATGTTCTTATATCAATTAATTTGAAGGATGGATTTAAAAGGCAGAAGAAATCTTCTGGTCTCGGGGGTTTAAGTATGCATAAAAGTATACACCTGCCTACTGAGTTCTGGGCTTCAGGGCTCTTTTGCAGGAACCAGGAACATCCTTCCCCTCAACAAGGGCCAGACAGCCCCTGGGGACAAATTTAGGGTGTTCCCAGAACCACCAGAATTGTCACAACTGTCCTAACTCAGGTAGCCTATTGTCTTACACAAAATTCAGGCATCCAGGTCACCAACTAACACCTCAAATCCCCTGCACTCTTAGGAGGTCGTGGTCAGTAAAACACATTAGGCCATACCTGGAGGGAGGGCTACTCTGCCATCATACCATCTCTACTGAGGCACAGAGGTATGGGACCCAAAAAAATTGTTCAATCCTTCAGTATAACCAATTGCCATTATGTTGATTCTGACTTTTGGGGATTGTCTATCAGGACAGAACTGTGATCCACAGGGCCTTCAAGGCTTTTTTGGAAGTAGATTACCAGGCCCTTCTTCCGAGGTACAAAAAAAAAAAAATAAATAACCCAATCTCATTGCCATCGAGTCAGATCTGACTCATAGCAACCCCTCCTTGGGTTTCCAGGGTGGTATCACTATGCAAGTGAATTGCCCAACCTTCCCTCTGGCTAGCAGCTAAGCATGTTAAATGTGTGCACCACCCCGGGACTCCTCCCCTTCATCACCGTTGTAGGTGCTGTCACATCTATTCCAACTTACGGTGACCCCATGTCAGGGCACAACTGCCCACTGCTTTTTCTAGCCTGTAATCTTTACAGGAGCTGATTGCTAGGTTTTTCTCCCAGAGTGGCTGGGTGGGTTTAAACTGCCAACCTCTTGGTTAGTAGCTGAGCACTTAAGCATTGCTCCAACCTAAATCTGTTTTAAACAAACTGCACACCATGAATAATACACTGAAGATGAATGCTGACTGAAACAACAGGACCTTTATTATTGTACAAACTAGAGGAATGTGAGGTAGTTAATTACTGTAATTGGGTGACTTGGGAGGCTAGGAAAATCCATCATGAATGTCATGAAGGCTAAACCTTCTGTGCAGGCTGAGAGCAGAAACCACACAGGTTCCTCTGGGACAAAACTGGTTATGGTCCATGCTCTGAACAGTCAAGAGAACAGAAGAAGTTCCCCTCAACTCAGACTACTCATGATTTCTTTGGGAAAGTGTAGAAGGTGAGCACACACATGCCTTGCCTGAGCTTATCAAGATGACTGATGATCACCGTGGGGACCTGCCAGGAGGCACATGTGAGATAGCTCTATCACAGAAACTGGCAGGGACATCATTCTGGCAGGGAATCAAGTAACATAGCTCCTCACAGCTTCATAAATGCCTGGAATCATGAGAAATTTCACCACTTTGGAATTCAGAAGTTTGAAGTTCAACTTTAGGCAGATGGTTCCCTCATAAAGTGTCTCTATTGTTAGGTGACATCAAGTTGACTTTGACTCACAACAATCCCATGTGACAGAGTAGAACTGCCTTTATAGGCATTTCTAAGCTGCAATCTTTATGGAAGCAGATTGCCAGGCCTTTCTCCTGTGGAGCCACTGGGTGGATTCAAATTGCTAACCATTCGGTTAGCAGCCAAGTGCTTAACCACCCTGCCACCAGGGCTCCTAAAGCTTCTCTAGGGAAATCATATTCAACAGAGGCAGCACATTCTCTTCAGGTCTAAGGCCCTTCTCTTGTACGGATTTTCTGGTGCTAAAGATGTTGACATTCACTAATCTAATGATGCCTTTTTCTGGTGCAAAATTTTCAGAATTGGCTGTGGGTGGAGTTTGGGCTACAGGATTTTTCATAAATCTTTACTCAAGTATGAATTCTCCAATGTTTATTAAGGCCAGAGTGTTGGCTAAAAGATTTCCCACATTCACTGCATTTTTAAGGCCTTTCTCCAGCGTGAACTCTCTTGTGCACATTAAGCAGAGAGCGACTGCTAAAGAATTTCCCACATTCACTGCATTCGTAAGGCCTTTCTCCAGTGTGAATTCTCTTGTGCACAACAAGGTGGGAGCTTCTGCTGTAGGCTTTTCCACATACGTTGCACTCATAAGGCCTTTCTCCAGTGTGAACTCTCTGGTGAAGAAAGAGGCTGGAACTATGGCTAAACGATTTCCCACATTCCACACACTCATAAGGCTTTGCTCCTGTGTGAAGTCTCTGGTGGTCAGTAAGACCAGAACACTGCCTAAAGGTTTTCCCACAATCATTGCACTCATAAGGCCTTTCTCCAGTTTGAATTCTTTGGTGTTTTATGAGGATGGAGCTTTCACTAAAGGACTTCCCACATTCAACACATTCATGAGGACTGGCTCCTGTGTGATGGTTCTGGTGTTGAGAAAGATTAAATTTGCAGGTGAAGGCTTTCCCACATTCGCTGCACTCAAAAGGCCTTTCTACACTGTGAACTCTCTGGTGTCTGCTAAGTGAAGAGTGGTAGCTAAAGGTTTTCTCACATTCACCACACTCATACAGCCTTTCTGCAGTGCAGCGTCTCTGGTGACTAAGTGTCTATTTGTGGCCTGAAGCTTTCCTGCGTTCTCTCCACTTGTAATGACTCTTTTCACTGTGAAAGGTCTCTCTACAGCTGGTGCTGCTGGGTGGCTTCCCACTTTGGGGCATGGCCTGGTGCTGGAGAATGCCAAAGTAGACCAAGGAGTCCTTCCCAACCTCCCCATGGATAAAGGGCTGCCATGACACTTGGAGTCTCCAGCTCTTCACAAACAAGGCTCTGTCCACATCCTGCCTGAAGGATTTCTCTCCACTGTGATGCTTCTTATCCTGGGGAAGGTCTTCATTGAGCCAGGGGGCTCGGACACATGTCCCACCCATGTGCAGTGTCTGCTCAAGGTTTATTGCTTTGTTCTCAGCCAGATGCAAAATGTTGTTCAAGACTGAAACACACCACTCGCAAGGGTAAGTCTTCTGGGTGGATGGATCGATCTGTGGAATCCTGACCTGTGACACCCCTTCTATACAAACACTCTGTTCAGAAGATGCCTCCTCCTCCTCCACTTCATGCCAATAACCTAAAAGTAGAGAAAGGCTGATAAATGTAGGTTGACATTGGTGGGAGGAGAAGTCCCATTATGAATGTGTGTCAGTCATGTTAAGAAATGAGTCTGTGGGATTGTTCCAAGGATGAGGGGCTGGAGGCATGTTCAGGAAGGGGCTCCTTGCAGTACTGGTCATCTATTAAACAACCAGGGAGGCCTCATCAGAAGGAGGACAGAATTAAGGGGTACAGCACAAGGAGGAGAGGCAGAATCTCCATCTCACTCCTGGGCCATCAGCCTTTAGGAGGATCCTGTCTGCTGGTGCCATGTGGCTGTTGTGCAGAAGGCCAGTTGTGTCCAGGCCCAGGAAAACCTGGACTTGAGTAACTGGCATTCTAGGACTATCTAGGGATATGTGCACATCTCATGACACATCATGTTTGCACCAGTGTCGGAGAACATTGCAGATGGACTTGTGAAGAGGAACAAGTGGCACATGGCCAGACAGATGGGGCAGCCAGAGGTTGGAAGCACAATTCAAAAGACAAGGCAGAAAGGGTCAAATATGGGGAAGGAAAAGTAGAAATGAGATGTGACCAGAGGTATTTGCACCAATGGTAGTGGACACAGGACATATTTCTGGTGTGATCTGAACACAGTCCTACTGTCGTTCCCTCCCCCGGAAGCAGCTAAGTAGGGACAGATCTCCTCTAGACCATCCTATCATGTCCACCCTGACAAACAACCTCCCTGACCCTGTCTTCATGATGGGATCTGCATGATTCAAGTTCAGAAGCACTGAGTGGACACCACTGTCCCAGAGAAAAGCAGCATACAACAGACCAGAGGACAGAAAATTAACATTAATAAAAGCTTGAGTGAAGGTCATGCAAAGACAGTCCCAGGTCCATGTTAGTGGGACATGACAATTTGTGCAATTACTGACACAGAAAAGCAAAAATTAATGTCACACAGAAGAAAAGAGCAGAAGCTGGGGCACAGGGGAGGATATGGACACATCACCCAGGCAAGGAGAGGACAAGCAAGGTGGGATCCACTGAGCTGAATGAAAGATTCCTGTACTCATCTCTTCACATTCTAAGGTAGCAGGTGGTGGGACTGATCAGGGACTGCACTGCTCAGGGCTGTGCACACAGCTCAGCCCTAGCCCCCACAGCAAACATGCTAGGAAACAGGGGAAGGTAGCAGAGTCCATGGTGTAGATGCAGACAGACAGAGCTGTCCCTGGGGAGAAGAGCAAAAGCAGAGACCAGCTCAGGACATGGGTGGGTGTGGGCATCTTACCCAGGGAGTTTATGATTGTAAAGTTCTCCAGCATCATGCCTCGGTACAGCAGCCTCTGGGCCTTATCAAGGAGCCTCCACTCCTCCTGGGAAAAGTTGATGGCCACGTCCTCAAAGGTGACACAGCCCTAACATGATTGGCACGATAGTTATTTCCACGATTAGCTTCTCTCCTATGACTCCATATATCCCCTACGTGTTGATATTCTGTTCACCCTCCTTCCCAGCCCCCAGCTCATAAGAGACACCAGGTGCTGGTGTCACTGACGCCCACTCTCTTCTCATGGTCTCATGATCACTGTGTCTGTCCATGACACCAAGAGTTAGGTGGGCACATAGATGAGATCTAAGCTCAGTGCCACGTGTGCAGCCTCTTGCCAGGCAGTTGGCCAGGGTCTCCTGAACACAATCAAATATGGCCTTACCCTTTACCTATATGTCCTTAATGCAGGGCCCTGGGCCATCAGTTCACACTTCTCTCCATGTGCATACTTCTCTGTCTCCCTCTACACTTATACAGCCTCCTCCCCTCCTTGCGCCGCACCATAGCATCTCCTTGATCTCTCATGTTTACCGAACATGGCATCCAGAGAGAGCTTGGCAAATTCCAACAGCACCCAGATCCAGTCCAGACCTCTGATGGTCTCCACTGCAGAGACAGTTCTAAGTCCTGCTATAAAGGCCTCTGTGCCTGACTCTGCTCTTGTCTTTAACCTCAATGGACCAGAACACCTGATGACTGAGGATACCCATGGTTCTTGTCCACCATACTTCACTTCTCTTCATCTAGGCCTTCCTCAAAGCCAGGTTCTAATAGTCCTCCACCCCAGGCCCAGGGACTCTACAAATGAACACTTGTGTCCCTGAGCTAATCTACCAGCCTGAGGAAACATCAGACACCACCACCAAAGGTCACCACAAAATCTTGGTATGTCCGTGGAGTAGTGATGAAGTTCCAGCCATGAATCCGCTGACATGTTGTCCCAATCTCTCCTACCTTTCCACATCTGTCTCATGTATTTATGCCTTGGAAGTTTTGGCCACCTGCCAGATCATGCTCTCTCCTATCTTCCCATAGCCACTTCTCTCCCTCAACTGTTTATAATGCACATCACCCCAAACCAGAGATCCAAGAAGAAATCCAGTCCTCAGTCTCCATCTGCTTCCTACCCAACTATTAGAATTACCATTATGACCAGGCTTTTCGCTATTGAATGGACCCTCAGTTCCAACCTGGTCCACACCCTGTCTGCCATCTTCTAGACATGTCTCCATCCTGAGTTTTTTCCCCAAATCCCACACTTTGTGTCCAGCTGCCTACTTTATGTAGTCAATCATTTTTTCTCTGAAACATCTCAGACTCTTAATATAAATAAAATAAAACTCCTGAGATCTGTGTTGAAAATTATTCCTACCACCGCCTTCCTATGTAACTCAATGGACTTTTCATTTTTCTAGCTATTGAAACTAAAATCCTTGGAGTTATCCTTGGAGTTCTATTTTTCTGTCAAACTCACAATCAGAAAAGCATGACAGACCTACTTAAAGATGGATCCAGAATCTACCTGTTCTCTCACTTCCCCAGCCATCAAACTGACCCAACAATCATCAACATGCGTGGACTACTGTAAGTCCTCCATGCTGCAGCCACAGGAAGCCTGAACTTGGTCAGGTCACCCACCTCCCTGCTCCAAACCTCTACTGTTCCCATCACTTTCAGATTAGATACCCAATTTCTCAGGAAGACATTCTAAGCCTGACTGCTACTTAGGGTGTGTTCATAGTCCCCAAAGTAGAGAGCTACTAGAAAAGTGTCAGGTGAAGAGCCTCAGTACAAACACAGAGACTATATGGGTGGCATCAGTATCAGTGAGGCTCTGGAACACCCTCCACTCACCTGTGTAGTGTCCATAAACATTTCTGCAGTCATGGGAAGCTGTGGGAAATGGGATCCGTGAGAGGGAGGCGGTGATGGGTTCCACCCTCCATGTCCAGCACTGGAGCCATGGGAACCTAGGATCACTACATTGGCTCGGGTACTCAGTTCTGCTCTTACCAGGTGTGTGTTCTTGGAGAAAGATTCAGCCTGTCTGTAACTGTCCTCATCCCCCTACTAGACTGCTCTTCCTCTGATCCGCAGTTTTTTTTTCCTTTTTACCCTTCACTTTTTACCCTCCCACTCCCTCAAGACCCTCCATGGCTGTCAGCATCTTGAGAATGAAGGCACAACTCCACTCACCTGTGTAGGGTCCATAAGCACTTTGGGGACCATAAACAGTGTGGGAAGAGGACGATATATGTCGTAGGCAAGGTACCAAGGCCTCAGACCTCCGTGGGGCCCTGTCCAGCC